TCTGTGGACCCAGCCTGTTAGATTTTGTAAGTTTCATCCACTTCTGCTGACATTCCAAATTTCACTAATTTCATGCCATACAATAGACCATACAATGCCAGTGCACTGGTATGGTTAGAGCAGCTTTCCCAGCCTGGTCCTTTCTTGTCAGCCCCCATTATTCTGAGCCAGAATGGGCACCACCTAGCAACTCACCCTCCAGCTCAGGGGCCTCAAATTTGCGGCCCGCGGGCCAATTGCCGGGACAGGCGGGGCACAGGGGAGGGGCCCTGCGGCCTTCAAAGCGGCGGCAGCGCCCGGGCCGGCCTCCGGATGAGCAGCCCACCACCCCCGCGGTGGTGGAATACTTGATGCGGCCCAGCCTCACCCAGACTCTACTTCCAGCGGCCCCCAGGTAAGTTGAGTTTGAGACCCCTGCTCCAGCTCAAGACAGGAAGAAGGAGGAGGAAGTTTTGCTGAACCCTGAAGCCAGATTCTGGCTACATGTCAAGAAAGTCTTCCTGATGTTAGAACAATACAACCATGAAACCGATGACCCAGGGGAGGTTGCAGGTTCTCCCATGGGGGTGAGTGATTCTGAAAAATGTAGTGGATTTTAATGGAAGTGAATTCTGCAACAAATTTGTATAAAGACCTTCTTCTGGACCACAAGTATTGAACTGGTTGAGTTTCTTCTAGTAAGGATTCTTCTTGTTGTGGCTCTTTTGTATTTGATGCTGCCCCCTTTCACCCCTTGGGATATCAATTTAATCAGAAATGAACTTGTTTTTGAAGTGAGAATCCTATGAGTCTCATTGAGCCCTTTGAAACACATGATCAAATCATCCCATGGTATGGGCTGAACATCCCAGCTCCTATTTCATGCAGCCATTTGTCTCCTGCCAAAGTGAGAAGGACATTTGGGGATTTACAACAGGTTGGGTGGGAATTCTAAGAAGTCTGTAGACCATACACTTAACATAATATGAAGGGACTGCCTGAGGCAATTTGTGGGGGTTTTGCCTTCTAATTTCTTTTAGGGAAAAAAGACAGACAGACAGAAGAACAGAAAAGCAAGAAGTATTTTGCTTGTAGACAGGATGACCTTGGAAATTGCAGTGTCATGAAAATTGTTTGAGTCCTGCCTGTCTCTTAAAGATTGATTGGATTTTTGGGGCACATATTTGCCCCATTCTCAGAAAATACCAAAAACAAAACAAAAACAGGGCCCCAAATAATTCAGCCCAACACTAATTTGTTTGTAAGCCATCCTGAGATGCCACGCATAGAGGATGGCATGTAAAAGTTTTAAATAAATAAATAAATAAATAAATAAATAAAGGCAAGCTCTAATGTGTTGTGCCAGCCATCAAATTAACATGGGGTCAGTGTTATCCTAGGCTATGCATTTCAAGTTTTAAAAAGGATATTTGAAGCTACCGTGATGTACCCTTCTCTAGGGTTCACAGTGTCAGAATGCAGCCTAAGATGTAAGGATCCACGAATACTGCTGGGCCTCCCTCTCTGCCTGCCCCTGTCCTTCTAGGAGTGAAGAAAGAGTGGGGTCACTGCCTCACTGTGTGGTAAGATTTTTAGGTGTTCAGAGGCAGCAGGCATCCCTGCTTTTGAGTGTCTTCAAAGCATTGGGTCAGGCGGTGCCTCCCGCAGCAGTTTTCTTTGAAGAGAGAAAAAAGCAGAGAAGAGGCTCTTGCATCCCACTGTCTTCAAATTCCAGTGTGAAACAAGATATGGACTCTTCTGGTCGTGGTGTCCACCTATCCCTGGTGTCCTCTGGGAGATGGGTTTGTTCACTGCACCAGGAACAAAGAAAAAGACTCTTTTCCCTCCACAATGGACAATGTGCAGAGAAGAGGGGGAGTCTTCCATTTGGTATTGGGGCTTGGGAGGTGACACCAGAGTACTTATGGTTGTTAATGGCAGCAAGTCAACAGTTTTTGTAGAACCCTGCCATGATAGTTGTATAAACAGGGATCTCTTCTAGATTCTGATTGCATAACTAATAATTCCACGAAGGCAAACGTTACCACGGTTCCAAAATATGTGGTCAAGGATTGCCTCTAAGGCCTTACACATCCCCACAACTCAAATGTGTACACAATAGTTCTGCACTAGTTGCATTTGAAGTGCTGTGTCTAGTTCTGGGCAGCCAATCTAAAAAAGACATTAGCCAGTTGAGGCATGTCCAGAAAAAAAGCAACTGGCAAGCAGAGGGGTCTGGAAACCAAGTCCTTTGCAGAATGATGGAAAGACCTGGATATGTTTCACCTAGAGAAGAGATGAATAAGGAGAAGCATGGTCATGGTCTTGAAATGTCTGAAAAACTGTTGTGCTGAAGATTGAGAAGACTTGATCTCTGAGGGCAGGAATAGAACCAACAGATTGAAACTGTAGGGAAACAGATTCTGGCTAAACATTTGGAGACATTTCCTGACAGTGAGAGCAGTTCAGCAGTGGAACAGATTGCCTTGGGAGGTGATGAGTTGTCCTCACTAGAGGTATTTAATCTGAAGCTGGAGAGGCATCTATCAAGCAAGGGGTTGGACTAGATGATCTCTGAGGTTGTATGATAACCATATTTCATTTTTCAGTTGCACAACTTATTGTTGCCCCCAAAACATTCCAGAATATTAAAAGGGCTCAAAGCGATCCATAATAGCAAAAATGAGCATTTGCAAATACTTCACTTACTGCATACCCTCTTCCTGTGATTGCTGCCTGCTGATGGCAATGACTTTTATTTAGTTGTATGTCCTTGGAAAAGACCTCCAGTATAACAATGGGAAAAGTAGGTTCAAGTGACAGCAAATGTTTTCTTTGTTTGGCAAAATAATTTCTTTAAGGGAATAGATAATGGCATTTGCACATCTTTCCTTAAGATCCTTGGAAGTAATTGATTTTTGAAGTAAATTAAAAATTGACTTCCCATGTTTTTATAGGCCTTTCCCCCCCTTCATCTCCCACTCTGTTTTAAGTCTATGTGGTGCATACTGCAAATTTAGATTTTTGCAGTTCTGAGGAGAAAGAACTCCAAAGAACCACAGTGCCTCCATCCACTCTTTGATTTCTAGAGATCGTCCATCACAGCTGTATTTGTCCAAAGGCAGTAAAAGACATTTCTCAGCCCCACTGGAAAGCAGGCCACAGTGGCAGAATCAAGCCCCCTGAATCGAGAACAGAGCTCTTACAGGAAATTGGGTCTTCCTAGGACATGCACCTCCCTAGCTTTTTTTAATTTCACCATCCAGTAGCTTCAAAGGAGTGAAACAGTGGCGGTTCCAGGCTTTGTTCCTGGCGTAGGCCCTGCTGGCTCCTGGGAGCATTTGCTGCTGACAGAGGTGGTTATTCTGGCCTGCCTTTCCCATTCTTTGTTAGAACTTCCCATCATGCCTAGGCAGTGGCTCCCTTATGGAAACCAGACCGGAAGAGAAGGGATTGCATCTAGCTCTATTCATACATAGAGTCGACCCATTGAAACCAGTGGGACAGAAGGGAGTCATAACCTACCTATCCCATGGATTCCAATGGGTCTGATCTAAGCATGAATCAAGTTGGTCAAGCCTGAGAATTGTGTACTTGTGATAATGTCAGGCTGCCATTAGTCTTATTCAAGTATCTATAGACTACATATGAACAGGACCGTGGGACCATGTGAGCAAGCTCTTCTCCCGGTAGTACCATAAAAAACAGAGACCTTTCCTGGTCAGTGGAGAATAGATTCTGCGTGTGATTAGATGAAGGTGGCTGGACTCCTCACAATGAGGAACTTTGCAAGATCAGAGCTCCTGTTTGCAGGAAAGAGTCTATGTGAAGTAGAATGCTGCCCATCACCAGTGCTGAAGAATATTGAGCTGCCAGTCCAATCAGCCTCTCTAGCTGGAATGGGGTGGGTGAGTGGCATCATATCCTTTGCCTCAGGCAGCAAAATGTCTGGGACTAGCTCTGCCCTGAAGAGCATAGTTTATGCCAAAGACTGCTGTGTAATTGCATGATTACCTCAAGCATCCCTAGACTTTTGGGGTCAGTGGGCATATTTAGAATTTTGAAATTGTCCATTCATAAATGGGCTGCCATGGAAGGAAAGACTAGGCACAAAACTGCTACTTCCTGGAGGTAGTTGGGAGTCTAAAACCACACACACACACACACAAAATGCAAAGTATGTGGTAGAGGTGGGTTCTGAGCTCCAAAATACACTTAATGAAATGAAATAAAGATGGTGCTGGGGAATGGGAGTTATTCTCGATTAAGAGCCAATGAAGCAGGGAGCATGGTGGCCACCAAGGGAGGTATCTGCAGTCACATTGTGGCCCATGGGCATCGCATGGAAAAACTACATTGTAGGTGCAGGATATTCTGTCTTCCTGTGTGACGTCAAAGAAGCAAAGGGAGGAAAGTGTTTGAAAATGGATGCATGATAGGACTGTGAGTTAAAACCTGTTCATGTTTGAAGTTAGCTTGTGTGTGGTGTTTTCTCATTTAATCTGTTGGGGTTTTTTTAAATGAAGCCACTGAAAACAATAATATGGTTAGATAAAAGTTTATTACATGCTACATAAATCAATGCAGTATATTGAGCCATCTAATCTGCATCAGACATATAAACACCAACTGTGAACTCCAGATGAATAAAACTGCTTTCTGGTTTCTAAACTTCTAAAGAAGTTTTGTAAATAACATCCTTATTTAGAACACCAGCTCAAAGCATGTGAAAGCTAAAGTGGCATCAATAAAGAAGCACATAATCTCAGCAAATTGCTAGTGGAACCAAGGTTTGGTTTTAGCCATTAATCATCTGCCACCTCTCATGGTTTTCCAGGTGTGAAATGTAAAACAGGAAACAAAGGCTATGCCAGCACTGCCACGAGCTGCATACATTGATTAAAACATTGAATGCTCTGGTGCTCATTGCATGTAGGAGATTAATGTTCTTCCTAAGCCAGTTTGTCAAGCACAGGAAACCCCTGAAGAGGACACAAATGGCATGTGTTCCTTAAGGTCACTCAGGGCTCTTGGAAATGCCAGGCATCCTGACCTGCCTGTGGCAGGCCAGCCTCATTTCCTGTGTTGGTTGTGTATATGGCTTCGGGGAACATGGTGGGGTCCAGAGGCATAGCAGTGTCAGCAGCATCCGGAGGGATGAAGCCGTCCAGGAGCCCCTGAGTCGCAAGAGGGTCTGCTGTTGCTTGTGCCAGAGGGTCTGATGGTCCTTTGCTCTGGCTTGCAGGATGGAGCAGGTTGATGCCATTTGGCATGGCACCACCCTGGTTGGCCTCTAATGGGGTGCCCTGGTTCCCTTTGCCAGACGGATTAGCCCCTGGGTTAGCTCCTCCTTGCACTTCGGGCTGTTCGGTTATGCCAAGCTGATCATCTTCGACCGTGTAGTCCCCTGGCTGACCTATGTTCACTGGCATGTTTCCCAACCTTGCATCCAGGGCAAAGAAGTTGGGGCCTGCCGCTCGATAGGCTGGTGCACCAAGGCCACCACCCTGAAAAATTATCACAGCACAGCAATTAACCCAGAGACCTTACATTCATTGTTTTCTCACTGATAGAATGTTTTACCCTGCTAGGAAAAAATAGTATTTTACTGATTAAAACCTCTCTTTAGATGTAATTCCTTTACTTATTTAATTTTCTATATTGCCCCTTAGCCAGAAAGGCTCCCTGGGTGGTTCACAAAATCAAAATACGCAAATTTATCACCACTGTAAAACATCTCAATTGTAAATTCTTTAATTCGCTCCCTACCCCTTCTGTAAAGCAGCCTCCCAACCTTGAAAATATGGTTGGTGTTTTCTATGGCAAGCATGTGTTTAATTTATCACACAGCTCTGGTCTGGCCTTTGAAGCCAGATAGGTGCAACAGAAATTTTCTTCACATAAGCTGCAAAGGCTAAATAAAATTAAACTCAATTAGTCTTTCTGAATGCACACGTGCAGGACTGAGCTGTTAAAACAATTTAAAATAGAGTTATTCCAACTGTGTGTGCACGCATTAGTGCATGTGTTATTTATGGCATGTATAATAGATTAAACTAAACCATTCAAAGAGGAAATAACAACACAAATATGTTCATAACATACTTTTGCTTTCACCAGTATGTGAGTTGGAAAGCTTCCAAAAGCAGTAAAATCAAGAAGTGGCAACCACATGAAACCCATAGCTTGTGTTATTATTAATAATTACATTTCTATACTGCCCCATTGTGGTAGCCCATTAAAAAACAGCACAACTGAATTTAAGGCTAGCCTTTTGACTCTCATCCATTTTGAAAGAAATAGATGCATTCGTATATCTCTCCCATTGAAATCAATGGAACTTTCTTACCAGTGGCTGGATTTTTATTCTATCAAGAAAATGCTTTATTTTAAACAAGTTTATAATTATATTCATGTTTATATTAGCATGGTTCAATCTGTGTACACATCTAATTTGTTGCACCATTTTACCTATAGTTGCTTTTCCACACTCTCCATTCTGGATTTTCCCTGATACAGGAATCACTGTATACTTTACAGCATAAGCCAAGAACTGAAGCTTCATTCTCATTTATTCCACAGGGAATCTGTGACATGCTAAGACTTAAAAAGAAAATTCTTCTAATATAATCAGTCCTTCCATTGGTAAAGTAAGTGTGCTGCATGCAAAAAACCAGGGAGCTAAAGGAGTGGGAGGGCAGAGGAGGAGAGTGTCTCTAATCCCCCACTGCAAATTTCTCTTCCAAAGTGATCATTTTAATAATAAGAAGCACAGGTCCACTATAAGGTGCATGTTATCAAAGTCCAGTTCTCCTCCCTCATCCCTTTGGCAAAAAGATGGCACTTTTGGTTGGGAAATTATTCATTTTTAATTATTAGTTTTCATATAGCAACCTGCCAACCCTCGCTGCATTGGGCACCAGCGTTCCCCAGACAGTAAGGGCCACTGCAGAATAACTGGAGCTGCAAGACGTTTTTTTCCTGTCGAAATGTGCATAGTATTGCATCCTAAATGGACAACTAGGCCTATCACTGACTGTATAATCATACACATGTCGATCAATCAGTCAATCAATTAATATCCAGAGCTCTTTAGGCAGTTTGCAACTACAACTACAATATATAATACAAACAGCATTAAAAGCATCATTAAAAGATTACAAGTGTTAAAACCAAATTAAAATGCATATTAAAAAGTTATAGTAGCCTATGCAAATTAAACAGACAACCTGTTTAAGCAGCTAACAAAACTCCAGTAAACTAATTAAATGCCCTGTTGTAGAGGGCAGTTTTAACCTAGCATCAAAAGGATATTAAAGTTGGCACCAGGTGGACACCAGTGGGGAGTGTGTTCCATAACCAGGGTTGGAGGACCACTGAAAAGACCCAGAAGTCCTACTCAGTTCTGACCCACCATCGCCAATGAGACTTACTTCTAGGTAAGGGAGTATTGGATTGCTATAATCAGCAGAATATCAGTTTAAGCAAAAACCTGTAGAAAACTGGGTGCTGGGCTTTTTATGTGCAAGGGCTCCTATAATAGTGAAATGATTTATGTTTATAGCAGGGATGAGGATGGGGCTTTCCAGATGTTGTTGGACTTTAACTCCTCAGTCATTTATTATGCTGGCTGAGCTGATGAGGGTTGGGGTCCAGTAGGATCCACACAGCCACACAATCCCCTCCCCTGTTTATATTGTAAGGTGTGTTTGGAGAGAGAATTTGCTTTTTCCTTCACAGTGTAAATTAATATCACATTCATAACCCACCTGCATTTCTTCTGAGCTTACTATTCCTAATCTGGCAGGAGTACCCTAAAGGAAATGTAAGCAAACCATATATGAGGAATGACTTGTTCCAGAACAATATGCACACACTGAAAAACACGGCTCTTTTTTTTTTCATTTCATTGGCAAGTCAAATAAAATATTTTCTATACACATTATTTAAAAAGGGGGGAAAAGTTTATGCTATTAAACCGTATACTTCCTATCTCACTGAAACATTACTGTATAGTAAACAAGTCTGTACGCTCCTCCTATGAAAACTAATGCTACCTCTAAATTTAAAAAGTCTGAAATCCAGGACTTCCAATAAGTGTAGGACCTCTTACATCTGAGTAGCTGCATTGTAAGTAATAGTTGTTATTTTGGAAGTAAATATGGGAAAGTCACTTTCTGGATTTAGTCTTTTCATCACACTTTAATATGATGTATGAAAGGATGGGACTGTACAGAAGAAGCAGTGAAGTAGGTAGATAAGAGTCAGGTTAGTTCTTGGCAAGTCTCACTCAGTGTCAAGAAACAGAAGTTAGGAAACTCTGAAGTTAGGAAAACTGCAGGGCAGCAGGAACACCAGGATTGGCCAGCAGAAGGGCAGACTGTGTCTTCCCTCAAGTTGCATCCCTGAGTGGCTTTTTCTCCATTCAGTGCATTGCAGTGGAAAGAAAACCTGTCCCATAGATCTAGTACTGGCTGACCCAGTTTCTATAGGGTTGGGATGAGGGTATGAAAATAACACCCATGTGTTATTTTCACACTATTTCTGCAAAGCACTCAGAGAGGCATTGCTTCCCCCACACTCTAGGATCATAATTACAACAACTTCACTAAACTTAAAGGAATGTAAGATACTTACTCCTTGGTTTGCTACATAAGGCAAGTAATATAAACTGGGATACATCTAGGCAAAAGAAAGAAAGTAAGGGTGAAGATGTTTTGGTTTAAGATACAGCATTTTTTCTTGTCATTTAATATAAAACAATGCAATATTCAATGCAATATTCAGAAACTGCCTTTTTAGATCAGGCCAATAGCCCATCCCCTCCTCAATGGCAGAGGTGTTGGGATAATCTAAGAGCTATCCAAAGTACATACTGAAACCCAGGCCCTGTGGACTGTGTTTTTTGGAAAGTCTGACAAGTATTTCCCAACACCTATAGCCCTGTATTTCCCAGGATACTTTGGAAGAAACCACAACAGTCAAATTGGGCATAATAATATTCACCCAGTGTAATGCGGATACTCCTAATTGCACTACTGGGCATGCAATGTATTGTGATTTCCATTCAACATAAAATTTAGTGGTACTGAGGCAACATTTAGCCCCCAAAGCAACCTGTCTAGATACTGTGCTACTATTCCTAACATAACCCAGTTGTTTTGTCTTTGTATTTGTCTATTAGCAGAACTGGTGTCTGCTTTTGCTGCGGACTTTCTGGACATGGAGTCTCCTGTCCTTACTCAAGCATATGTGGCCCTAGAATGTCAGACCTGCTTTATTTACTTACTTACTTCTTTTATTTTTATATCACCCAATAGCTGAGACTCTCTGTGTGGTTAACAAAAGTTAAAAACACACAAAGCAAAAAATAAAAATACAAAATATTCATTCAGTGGGGCAATCATCAAAACTTAGACTTTCGTACTTTGGACGTATAATAAGAAAGCAAGTCTCAATGGAGAAAATAAATCACTGTGCGATCATGCTAGTGGAAGGCAGAAGAGAAAGACCGAATATGAAATGGATTGACCCTGTAAAGGAAGCTGCAGCATTGAATTGACAAGAGCTGAACACAGCTGTCATTTATAGGGCATTTTGGAGGGCTTTCATTCATAGGGTTGCCATAAGTTGGGGATAACTTGATGGCACGTAACAATAACAAAGGACAAACATTCAGTAGGCAGGGAAGACAGAAGGGGGAATATAAGAACTGCCTTGGATTCAATTTCTAAGTTTTTAGCCAGCTCCACTGCACTGTGAGTGACCAGTGTTAGTAATGGGATTGGTATGATCAGCACTTTCTGCATTTAATATCCTTCTGTCCTTATTGTTTATATTTCTTCCCCATCTCATGATATGTAATGTATATGAATGGAAAACTCTCCATAATGCTATGCATATGCCAGAATACATGTGTTAATCTTTAAGGTGCCACAAGACTCCTCGTGGTTTAAGTCCAAAACAGACATCATAACTGGATCAATGTACACTGACTTGTTCTGTGTATATGCTTGTGTGTGCGTGCGCATAACGGGGGCGTGGGGCGGTGTGTGCAGCCAGTTGAATGAATGCTGGCAAGACCAGTTTCTGATTACACTTACTAATCACTGCCTGAATGTTAAGAATTACTGGGGCTTGTGTGAGCTGAGGGTTTGAGATGCTTGGAATTTCCAGGCATCCACTGCTGCATGGAAATTTAGTTATGGGCCAGTTAGCCTAAAGCAGTGATGGCGAACCTATGGCACAGGTGCCCGAAGGGGCACATAGAGCGCTCTCTGTCGGCATGCGATAGCCCATGCAGTCATGTGCATATTCAGAAAGATTAAGGGCGCCAGGCAATGGCGTCACTCATTAGCCCAGACTGGCGAGCTTTCTCATGGCCGGTCAGTGAGCTGCCAGGGATTTGCTTGGACCGTGATTTTAGCAGAAGGTAGGAAAGATAGGAAATACACTCAGGTAGGAAATACACTCAGATGCCTTTTTCAGGGCTGGCCAAAAGCTGGTGGTCAGTGGAACATTGCCCCCTTGTGCTGGTGGTCAGCAAATTCATGTTTTACTGCAGTGTTGGCACTTAGTGATAAATAAGTGGGTTTATTTATTTATTTGAAACATTTTTATGCCGCCCCCATCGCAACGAAGCCTTGGGGCGGCTCACAACAGAAACAAAATACATAAATAAATAACAATATAAAAATAAAAAAGTAATTTAAAAACCTCCGGTGCATCTCAGCTAAAAATTTAAAATCCTATAAATACAAATAATTTAACAATTAAAATAAGTTTTAAATGAAAAGGTCTTAGCCTGGCGCTGAAAAACAAATAACGACGGCGCCAGGCGGACCTCTCTGGGGAGCGCATTCCATAGGTGGGGCGCCACCGCAGAGAAAGCCCTCCTCCGGGTACTCACCCTCCTAATATTCACAGAGGGTTCCCGGAGAAGGGCATCTGTTGCTGATCTCAAGGGACTCTGAGTTGCAGTGTGAGCACTCGGTCTCTAAAAGGTTTGCCATCACTGGCCTAAGGCAAGGATGGGTAACTAGAAGCCCTGCAGATAGGTTGCTGGGGTTGCAGTCCAACAAGATCTGGAGGCCCACAAGTTCTCTATCCCTGGCCTGTGATACTGCAGTGTTTCTGTGTGAGTCACCTTAAATGTCGTTTTCTTTTTCCTGTAGAATGTCAGGCCAATAAATATAATTAACAGTAGTAGTAGTAGTAGTAGGTGAAAATCTATCCTGTATCGCCCGGTGCTCTATTGCCATGCCCAGGATGGTCTGTGAGGCACTTGTGGGCAGGATCCAAAAGGAAGGAAGACCCTTGACTTTGCTTTAGGCCTGTGTGCTTCCATGCACTGTTACATTCTAACAATGATAAAGGAAGAGCCACAATACACAGAGTTCTTGCATAGCTCCCAGATGGCTACCACCTTCTGAGAACAGCCATGTTGGACAAATACTTATCTCCAGCAGGTGGGTCTGCAGGTTAAGAAAGGTCACCTGTGGAAAATCAGTGTGCCATCAACAGAACTCCAGTCTGAGAATCAACTTACAGATCGTTGCAACGGTGGTTGTGCCGGGTCTTGTTGGGTTCCATGTACACTTGGATAGTTCTTTGTAAAAAGATGGAAAAGAGGAAGATACCATGAAATGCAAGGCACCCCCCCCCATGTATAAAACAAATACTGAATACAAATACCTGTCCCCCATTTAAGAATTTTATGTGTTACAAAGTCATGGATGGCTGAAGGGCAATTTGTTTCTACATTACCCTTTCTGGACAATTACTTTACTTATCATGTTTATAATGCTTTCTGGGTATTCAGTAAACATACATTTTCTGCGTATTGCTCAATAGTCCAGAGCAATCTTATATTGAGTAATCAGAAGCACTGTTGGAAAATTAAAATGGGAGACAGTTTCCTTGCTGCTCCTGCTACCACAAGCCAGTGCCCAAGAGACCAGGCAGGGACACAAGTCAAATACAGCACAGGTGGATCTTGCTGCAGACTCTGAGTAGGGACTGAGTAAGGTGGCCTTGCAGAAAACCGAGTAGAAAGCACACACTTTTAGGCCAGATGTGGGCCAAAAGGAGCTTTCCCAATATTTTGGACTTCAGTTTCTAGCATTCTTGATGATGGGCCATTCTTGCATGCCAGTTCTAGGAACTGAAGTCCAAAACATCTGTTCTACCTTGTACCTGTTATAATCATAGCTATTCAAGGGGATATGAAATACAAATGTATACTTACTACTTGACCTAATGTCCCTGAGTATTCTTGTACAGCTGGCAACTGTATCAAAAGAAAACATTTAAAGCTATTACATTAGCAGACATGAAATAAACTAAAAGAGAGAACAAGCAAGGAAAGCAAGGCTTACAGTCCTAATCCTAATGTGCACTTCCAGCTGGAATCTTTAACAACAGTGTTTAGGAAACCTAGGACTGCACTGAAATTGGAAAGCCTATAGAAGAAAAAAAATACCTGCCTTTTATTTAGGTATTTATTTATTTCATTTCTAGCCTGCCCAATAGCCTGTGCTCGCTTTCAAAACGTCAGTAGTTTAGCTTGGCTGAGAAATCAACATGTAGCATACCTGGGAAATTATTTTTGCCCTCCATGGGCCCCTCCTCCTGTGAGCCTACCCGTTCCTCACCACTGTCCCCTGCTGCTCATGCTGCTCTGCCTCTCTTTCCCCATTACTACTGCTCACTTCCTTGACAGTTAGAGAGCCAATGAGCAAGCAGGTCGTGGCATCGACTGATCCTCCTTCTACCAACACCGCCTCAGGGGCCGAAGGAAGAAACAGGTGAAGAAGCGAGTAGCAATGGGGTGTGGTTCCTCAGCAGGTGGAGGAACCCCTGACATCCTCCCTGACACCCCCCTTGCAGCCTGCCACGCCCAGGTGCCACTGTTGGTCAGCCATATTTCTTTCTGTGCCCGAAACAGGCTCTGTGGTTTCCCCAGAAAATAGATTCCTGGTTCAAGCACTGGAGCCTGAGAGGTCCCACATATACGAGCAATTGTTGGCTTAGTATGTCAACCGTTTGTCAAACCCACCTGTTGTGTTTGTCTGTCTGGTGAGGGCAGTTGTTGTTGAAGAACAGGCTGATTTCCCTCTGGCAGAGCAAATGGATTCTGCTGGAATGGTGGCTGTGTATCGTACTGTTGCTGTTGGACCTGCCTTGTAGGAACCAGATTTGTGAAGGGGTAGCGAGGTTGCTCCTGTATTCCAGGTTGTTGGAGCAGAGTGGGAGTCTGTTGTGATGGTAAAGGAGGCGGGTGCACTGGCATGGAATATTCATACTGTGGAGCAATAGGATACATGATTTTGAGGCATGCAAAAGGTGTTATATCCATTCAAAAAACCAATTTGTCTGATAAATCTTGCCTACAAAATCTCATACTAGACTACATGCATTAATCTCTAATGTACCATATAATGTTGGTTTGGAGTTGGGAATCCCAGTCCAGCAAAATACAATAATGACTGAGTTCCACTGAAATCAATGAAATTTTAACAATAACTAATTCTGGTTGTACTGCTTTCAGTGGGATTTGCCTAGGACATATTTTTCCTCTGTTTGTATCCTTTGCGTTTTGTAGCTGCTGACTAATCACAACATGCTTTGAAATAAATGTTCCCTGAAGCAGTTTAAAATACAGTGAAATATAAAATAACTCACAAGAGATCACCACCATAAAAAGCTAAATTATGGGAATGGAGGAGAGTAACTACTCGGAGACTTTTCATTGTCAAAAATATTTCCATAAAGCAGGAATGTATCATTCTTTTTTGGCAGGTATAAAATACATGATTGCATAGTGTAGATTTGTTAAAAAATATATTTGAAAATCTTTGTTTCCTGGCTCAGTGGCTACCAATTAAGAGAGTGATGAGATCACAGGTTGATCCTGCTTTTGTAAAAGTAACATTGGGTAGAACAAACCACAGTTTGCAGTTTATTCTGCAATGCAGGCAAAAGCTTTCACTATGCAAAACAAGAGAGAGGAGAGAGTTGCTCAGGGCTTGCATGCAGACATTTGAATCAGCCTCCTTCAACCTGCGTTCCTCTAGATTTTGTGAACCTCCCATCACCCTGATGATTGGCCCTACTGTCTTGGGCTGATGTGAGTTGCTGCTAAAAACATCTGGAGAGACCTGGGCTGGGAAAGACTCATCCAAACCATGGTTTTTATCAGGAGCAGGCTATTCAGTGCCTTGCAGATGTTGCAGACTGCAGTTCTCACACTCCCAAGACCACTGGCTGATCAGAGTTGCAGGCTCAAAACATCTGGAACACACCAAGTACACCTGGTACAGATGACACAATTAGGCAACCTTTCTCTTTTGGATTGTGTTCAGAATAGTGTTTTGCCTTGTACTGGGGAGATGAGCATTCAGTCAGAATTCAACTTTCTGGAAGCTCATAAAATGACCAAAGTACCTCTTCCACACTGGTACAGAGGTTGTTTGGTTGTCACCTTCAATGGGGTAAGGAAAATATTATGATACATCAACGGTTAATGATGGTAAAGCTTTTGAGCTCGATGTTTCCAAGGAATTGTGGCTGCTATCAGTTTGTTCAAGTGATCTCATAATATGTGGAGGAGATAGGTAGTGTCTCTGTAGGCATCAGTTTTGTGGTGGGATGATATTCCTTCATCATCATTGGCTATGCTGGGCTGATGCGGATTGTAGTCCACTCATACATTAATTGATGACCACTCAAACTAAAGCATTGATGTGCTGGTGGGAATAATTTGATACTTGGTCAACATCCCTAAAAATATGCAGCAATTACTTGAAAAAGTATCACTGTATTTGGAAATTTGCTGACACTAACAAGACTCTTCTTGATATTCTTTCCTTTGAATTTTCTCTTATTCTGTACAGTTTCTGGAGTTATGACAGAAGAACTTACCTGTTGAGTTTCATGTCCTTGAGGTCTTGGCCTCATCCAATAGAAGGATGAATGTGATGGAAGGAAATTGTGCATCCACATTGAATGGAATGGATCAGCATAGGTATAAGCCTGAGCATACTGAAGAAATTGCAAAAGAAGACATACTTATTTTGAAATTGTAATTCTGATATTCAAGTTCCGCAAAGCTGAAGTTCAAATTCAACATTAAAATTCAGGTCAATAGGTAGCAACCAAAATTAGTTCAGAAATAATATATATATTAAGTGGGGCTTTCAATTGCTTTTGTAATTGTTTACATATCCAGTTCTTTCTGCCTGATAATATATCCTTGAATTTAGTCAGAGAGAAAGAGGTAAAAAAGCAAGAAACAATACATATATATCTATTAATTATTCTGCTTCTTGGAGCCGAAAGAGCTTTCAGGGGGTTTATAAATAAGGAAACTAATAAAATCGACATGAAACCATAACACCAAAACCATAGAACCAATCTAAAAGAAACCCTAGAAGATCACTAAAGGATTATTTTTAGCATTCAACTAATATCTCCAAATACCATCTATAATATAAAAAATGGGGGTTTTAATCAGCATGACTCCAGTCCAATCCTGTGCATATTAGACAGGTAGCCCCATTGGAACTTAGCCTTGAATAAACCTGAATTAAATTGCTGAAAGTTAGTCAAGACTGAGGTTGCAATCCTGGACACACTTACCCATGAGGAAGTCCCAGGCAACTCAATGGGATTTACTTTGGAGTAGGCATGCATTAGTATGACCCACTGTTTTGAAAGTAAGCAAATTCCGCTGAGCCCAATGGGGCGAAAATAACTGAGCAAGGGATCACAGCCTTTTGATGATGGTCTGTTATCATAGTAAACCTTTGATTTAATTTGTTTGCAGCCAGAGTCATGACCATCTTAATCTAGACAGTCACCCATAACTATTAGACAGGGTTAGAGAGCCCATTTTTACGGCTTTCCAGATAATGTTGAACTACAGCTGCCATGTTCCTTGATCATCAGAGAGGCTGACTGGGGCCAATGAGTGCTGGAGTCTGGCCACAGGTTCTTCATCCCTGATATAAGCCAATAAAAAGTGTGTCTTTCTTCAGCCTGGTTCCTTCTAGAATTTCTGGAATACAACCTCATCCAGAGTGACCAATATCCAGGGATGCTAGATGTCCCATACAGCTGGAAGAAGCCACTGGGGGAAGGCTAAAGTTTGGTATTGATGCATTTTTCTTCTCTTCCCTTTTCAGGTTTACTTTGAAAATGTTTGGCAATTATCATTTCTTATCATTTCTAAAAGAACAGTAGATGAGGAAGAGGTTTGTCATACACATTCCAAGTGATATAAGATTCTGGAACACCATTGGAAGTTTACTCTTCATCCATTTAGGAATAGACTTTTTGAAAAGACAATGTTTGATTTAATTTCAGTTACCTGTGGAAGTACATTTGGCATGTTAGGTCTACCAAATTGCCGCATCCTCTGGAAAACAATCAGAAAACATATCCAGGATTAATATCAACTAATGCCATTAGTAACACTAATTGAAAGAACCAGTCTCCACTAAATTAGTCTCCTCCCCTTTTGAAAGTCATCCAAGCCAGTGGCCATTACTACATCTTGTGCATATACTGTATACTTAATGTAATTCTTAATCAATATCACTGACTGAATATTCCCACATTTTCATGTATGGAACAAGAAGGAATAATTCTAGCTATTTTCTCCATAAACTTCCCCTTCCAGATTTGTTCTACTACAATTCGTGACATGCCCTAGCGCTTGACAAATACAAACCCAAGGCATGCAGTCCCCATTTGTAATTGCAAAGTCAAGGTGCTCAAATGCACCAGTATCATCATGCACAAACCCACTCACAGGTAAGTCCCATTAAGGCCCTGACCTGGTACCATCCAGGTAGCAAACAGCCACACTGCTGGAAATTATGAGAACTGCAGTTCAGCATATCAGGGGGCATCAGGTTGGTAAAGGCTGGTTTAATGGGACTTACTCCTAACCCAGGTAAGTTTGTTTAAGATTTCAGCCTTAGATACCCATTGGACTAGTTCTCCTTGGTGGTTATTATCTTTGTACTAATTGCAATACATGTCAGATTTATTCTCTTTTAAATCCCACTTTTGCCTTTGTCCTGTTATTTTTAAAAAGCTATTTTAAAAAACAGCATTTTATCATTGTTGAATGGTATATAATAAATAAATAACATTGTAACTGCTGTTGGTGCAGGGGGTGGCGGGATTATGTACCTCAAGGCTTATACTACCAATTCCAGGTATCCCAGCATGCTGTGGAAGAATCTGTGAACAAATAAAATATATATGGAATTTCTTCTTTTTCAGCATTTGGGAAGATATTTGTTTCTTCTACTTCTACATGCTTCCCATATGATGTTTCATCCCATGAAATTATCAAGGTTCAATTCTCTGAAGTAATCACAGATTCACTTCTGTGCAACTTCATGTAAGCTGAATGGCTGAAATTCACCTGGGATGAATATTTCAAAGTCATGACAAAAATAATGGGGCATCAGTTAGTCAGCAGAACAGCTTTCAGACTAACCCTTTAAACTCTTGGGGTTCTTCTGCTTTATCAACATATCTTAAAACAAACCAATTAGGAATATGACAAAGGATGTAGAAAACAGGAGATCTCTCACAAATGGCAAAAGCAACAATTGGGAGTTTTAGCTGAAATGGTCCCTAGTGATTGTTTTAGTATCCACAAACTCAATCATTTCAAAACTGATTGCCAAGCAACCTTCAAAGCATGGTTTCATTACCTCATTTACAGAGGAACCATAGGTTGCCTTATCCATGGGTTGTAGTACGAAACCATGGTTAATGCTAAGAAAGGAAGGAAGGTGGAAATGGCTCTTGATAGGGAAGTAGACTGGGGGGAAAAGCCAGTGAACCAACAGTCTGGGCCTACTTTCTTAACCAAGGTTAAGGAATCAGCCGTGTAACCATGTGACGTGTCCACTGGGGGAAAACACTCAACCCACTGGTAAACCATTCTTGCTTTCCATGATGGCATCCTTCTCTCATTCATAACAGTCACAGAAGACCATCTGCTCTGCACAAAACAGGCCTCCAAATAACTTCCTACATTACTGTTTTAAAAATTAAAAAAATTCTCTAACTTCTCAGATTGTTGGCAATTTAAGGTAATATTGCACTGATTACCGGCAGAGAAGAACAGATTCCTAGGAGGCAGGAGACAAGTGTCCATTGTTTCATATCTGTGATGCTGTCTGGAACAAAAAATGCCTAGAAAAAAATATTAGAGACTGATGAGGTCCTGGAAATTAAATATAGTTTGCAGTGGCATAGTCGGTATAAATATCCCATTCACAAATGTGGTGGATTGGCCAGTTTTCTTACAGCGGAAAGTCCTCCCTTTGAAGATATTTTTTTATCCAAAGAGCTATCTGGTCCAAGATGGGCTTAAAGAGGAGGGGCCTCAAATTTGCTCATCATTTGTTAGCATCTGGGCAGAAAACAGAACAGGCAGACACATGAATCTAGTCCTAGGCTTCCCCATTATACTGATATGTGTTGTCTTCTATTTAGATCATAATTATTTCCAAATGTGCATCCATAATGTCCGTTAGTGTATGCAAATGTTGTGCAGATCTGTGTCCTCCTTTTGGTGATATATTTCCTCTTTTTTGACAATGTGTAAGTAACTACCCTACTTACAACTAATCCTATCGTGTTGGAAACCACATTCAGATCATTTAGTAGAGATCTGGCAAATTATTTTTAGTGCCTTTCCATTGGAATGCAGTACATTATTTAAAGGTAACAATAATACCATTTTAAAAGAGCCAGGACTATGCATTTCAGAGATAAAATACTTTAAATCATGATGGAGGTCAGTGATAATTTTTCAAGTTGTACTTTCATTAGTTCTCCAAGAGAGATTATCCTGGATACAAAAAGAAATGTTAAATAACACTTAGCATTTATATAGCTGCTTCCAAGTGCTCAGAGCACTTCACCTCCATTACTGAGCCGTAACCCTTACAGCAACCCCATCAAGTAACTCAGTCTTCTTGTTCCTCCAGATTCCTTACGGCTACCTAGAGAGTCATGAAAGAGCCGAGATGTCAATTCCTGAATCATAGGTCAGTCTGGAGGCCACATAGTGCCCCCTTCTCATGGCTTCATCCCTTTCTTCCCAACCATTAATCCTTTGGTAGTTTTCTTTGCTTTGAGGTATTTCCCCCATATTTTAAAAGATTAAAATGATGCTGCCTTATAAGGCTTAGCCATGAAACTAAGGCTGTCACACTTTGGGCACATCGTGAGAAGGCTGCTCTCACTGGCGAAGATGATCATGCCAGGAAAAGTTGAAGGCAGAAGAGGAAGACCAACCATGAGGTGGGTGGATTCCACAAAGACGCCACAGCCTTGAGTTCACAAGAGCTGACCAGGGCTGTCAAGGACAGGATATTTTTGAGGGCTTTTACTCATAGGGTTGCCATAAATTGGCAGCTTGTTGGTACGTAACAACAAACAGAGCTTGGCCGTTGGCAGTAAGAGTATTAAACTATGATATGCTGGGTTTTTTTATTCTTTTGTCTTCATCTCCACCCATCACTGTAATGAAGCCCACCCCATAACTTTTCCAATATGGAGTTCTACCCTTAGGCTGAAAGAAGGCTTACTCCTTTGCTCTGTCAGCTTCTGCTACTGCTCTCGGAGAGAGTATTTCATGTTATTGTGCAGCATGGCTGCTGTTTAGAAAAGCCAAGTGCGAAGAAGAAGAAATCCTATGCATTAATTGCCGTGAGAGCCGAATTTTGGCTTTCTTCTACATAACAGGCCCTAGCCAAAATTCTCTTCTCTACAGAACTGTGCAGCTTATTAGCATGACATATGGCAAGAAATACAGTAACCAAATAATGGAAGATTCCTGTGATGCTCTGAGTTTGTGTCTTGTAAGCCTCAGTGGTGCCAGTATTGCAGGATTTGGAGGCAGATGTTCAGGAACCCAAGTAGCAGAGTCAGCAGGTGGGCCCCAAGCCCAACAGGGCTGGCTTACTTCATCCTGAAACCCTAAGCTCAGGGTCCTCCGTGCATCCAGGGCTGTGCCAGGCTGAAGCCGGCAGGGCCAGAGGAGCAGCAAATGTGGTGTCTTGTCCTACGATAATTTCATTTTCTCTATGTAGGCCATTGTTGGGAAAATTCAGATGAATCCAGGCAGAAAAGGGTTGTGCCTTTGTGTTATAAAATCAAACCTGCATCCCTTTCTTAGTAAGCGCCAGGATTCTAAGCCAGGTCCCTGTTTAGTGCTGCTATTACTTTAAGAAGATGGAATTCTTAACTGGACTGAGAAGCTGCTATAGGCTAACACTATTAGGGAGGAAATACCTCTGTTCTCATCTGCTGCAGAAAAACTGAAACAATGGTGTCCATTTGTTTCTGAATGGACCCACTTAAGCATCTAGTCCCACAGAGGCAAGCGCCTGCAATGTAGTTGCCAACCAGATTTCCTGAATGGTTCTTCCGTCAGGCATATTTGCATGTTTAAGCAGGATCCAAACTGCAAAGAGGTTACGCAATTGATAAGTCAATAAAGCAATCAATAATGTTTTCCATACTATTGTTACTATTTCTGATTGGTTTAGAATATTATGTCATGCCTAAAGACATCAGGATGCTATTGATAAGATTATCTGGAAACTCTTAACACTCTGTATTGGTGTACATGACTATAAGTTTATAAAAGTGTCTGTACATGGGCTGTGATTGTGTAGTTGGCAGTGAGAACCACCACCCGGTAGCATGCAGTTGTAAGTAACTGCAGGGGTCCTGGGTGATCTTTCAATAAAACTGCTGAGGTTCAAGGTGAAAGGGGTCTTTCCTGACCGAACCTGGTTGGTTGGTTGGTTGGTTGGTTGGTTGGTTGGTTATTTATTTATTTAAAACATTTCTGTGCCACCCCCATCGCAACAAAGCCTCGGTGCAGCTCACAATCCTTGTTGTGGCTGCCATCAAGGCTTCACAACACCATTTTGGCTGCCTAGCAATAGTGCTTTGGAGGAGGAGGAGGGAAGTAGCTGCAGTGGGAGGATTTGCAAGCTGGTCGTTCCAGTCTTCTCCATCCACTGAAGTGCGCCCTTCCCCCTTGGCCACAGGCAATTGTCTTTTTGGCCTGGCTGCAAGGGGGAGAGGGAGGGCACTTGGAGGGCTGCAGTACTCTCTCTGCCAGTGCCGCCTTTGGTTTTCTCCTGCGCAAAGTGAAAGCATGCCTTCAACGTTAATTAAGGACAAGCACAGGCCTCGGCAGTCCTTTGCAGATTTTTAAAAATAGGAAGTACACAAAGGGAAAGGAATGCACGTAGATGAGGTACAGTAAAGATCCAGAAAGCCTTTCCTTTACAGGGGGTAAGCTTTCTGGGCAGTGGCATGGGAAGGGGCTTGATCATGGGAATTGCCCTCTGTTAGGTGACTGAGGGGGAAGGAGGAGTCAGTCATGCCCATAATGGTTGTGCAGTGGCAGGAGAAGGAAGGGGTTGCTCCAGCCATACCGTGCCTCTGTAGGCCTGCTCAGCGGCTCAGTTACAGGCTGCTTTCAGGCAACAGCCACATGCTTTCCTCTGCTGTTTTCCAACAATGGCCGGGAAGGAAATGTCTGCCTTCTTCTCCTTGCCTTCTGACTCATTTGCCCTGTTATTTGGGGGCAGGGAGAACCCCACCACCTATCTCCCTGGTTCCTGCTGATACTGGCGGGCCCGAGGGGCAGATAATGGGGAGCAGCAGGGGTGTTCCCCCACACCATTCCTCTCTCTTGGGCTTTGCAGCCTTCAGCGTATGCTCTCAGTAGATCCCCCTCTGCTTCTTTCTGAGGGGTACCATTTTGTGCCTTGCTTCCAGCAGGCAGAAAAATTGCCCTGTGTGAGCCCCATCTATTTCTTTGGTATCTTGGAGGCTTGGCCTAATCTCCACCTGAAAATAAACCTGAAACCAATGAATACCTTTCTCTTCAAAATGAGGACTTTCATGATGATCACTGTTAGGAGAACTTTATAATATATAGCCTGTGCCCAACCTTTTGTTTTCTTCCCTAAATAGCAGTTGCTATTACAAATTCAGAATCTAACAGCAAAAGTTATCTGAGGCTCTCAGATTCATAAAAACCTTATGAAAGCAAAAGGAAAAACAATGTTAGTGACTCCATCTAAAAGCAAGTTCCTCAGAACAGGGTGGCCATATTCCTAAAGTGGCAGAATTTTGGGGTATACTAAATTCACCTAACATTCTACTTTATGAAAAATAAAGCAAATTTTGTTAATGTTACTCAATTAGACTAGAACTAGGAACAAATGCAGCAGTTCCTGTTTGGGCAAAACAACTGAGGAATGTTGAGGGAAGCTGTAAGAGTTTCTTTAAACTAGTAATATTGCTCAGGGATAAATTTGGGGATTAGCGATGGGAATCTGTTGCAGCAAAACCACCCCAGAGCTGTAAGGCACCTTAAAGGCTTAGCACATTTGTTGTGACATAAGCTGTGTCACATTTCTCAAGGCTGATTTTGCAAAGTGAAGTAGAACCAGATTTAGCAGGTGCCCGTTTTTTCCAGTTACTGCAACAATACAAAGGGAGAAGCTGCACTTGAGAGCCTTGCTGCTTTTCAGAAGTCTAAAGAAACAGAAGCCCGTGTTGGATGGAATATGGTCACCTTAATTCAAGCATTGCCATTATGAAAGATTAAAATATTTTTTACCTTTGCACTGTCTTGCAAAATTTCCCCCCCAAACCTGCCGAGGCAATTCAAGGAATCTTCACAAGGAAAAGGTTCACAGCTGTGATTTGTGATCCTTCCTCTCTCTCTCTAGAATATAAATGTTATTGAAATGGCTGGCCAGCCAATCAATATGGAGCAAGAGGGCAGGAGAATTATACACTTCTCACCTGATCCCACCCTCCATTTCATTGTACTCAAAACTCAGAGTCATAATACCTCATTATTTATAATTGCATCCTCAAGTCTGTATTTATAAAAATCATTTTTAGGCTTGTGGATAATGAGCACAGAAACAAAATAAGCAACAAAAGAAAACAGATAGTATCTATCTGTGACACTAGGCATTGGGGTGTTCACCAAAAGAACTATTGTGCCTTCAGTACTTCCAAAAACAGGTAACAATTAAGCAGGTGCAGTTTCCCACCCTAGACTCTCTTGAAACACTGTCTTGTTGAACGTCTGCCTGCCAAATAACTGTTCAAAG